TCCATAGAGCCCCATAGAGCTCCATTGAACCCACAGAGAGCCCCATAGAGCCCCATTGAACCCCCATAGAGCCCCATAGAGCCCCATTGAACCCCCAGAGAGCCCCATTGACCCCCATAGTGACCCCATTGACCCCTCCATAGAGCCCCCATTGACCCCCCATAGCGACCCCATAGAGCCCCCACTGACCCCCATAGAGACCCCAAAGAGATCCCATAGAGACCCAAAGAGACCCTATAGACACCCCAAAGAAACCCCATTGACCCCCCATAGACCCTTCATTGACCCCCATAGAGACCCCATTGACCCCCATAGAGACCCCAGAGAGCCCCCATTGACCCCCCATATACACCCCATTGACACCCCATAGTGACCCCATTCACCCCCATAGTGACCTCCTTGACCCCCATAGAGAATCCATTTACACCCCTAGAGCCCCCATTGACCCCCCCACAGAGCCCCCATTGGCTGCATAGACCCCCATTGACCCCCCATAGAGCCCTCATAGCCCCCCATAGAACCCCCATTGACCCCCCATAGAGCCCCATTGACCCCCATAGAGCCCCCATAGCCCCCCATAGAGCCCCCACTGACCCCCATAGAGCCCCCACTGACCCCCATAGAGCCCCCACTGACCCCCATAGAACCCCCATAGCCCCCCATAGAGCCCCCACGGGCCCCCATAGAGCCCCCATAGCCCCCCATAGAGCCCCCATTGACCCCCCCTATAGAGCCCCCATTGACCCCCATTGACCCCCCATTGACCCCCATAGCCCCCATAGAGCCCCCATAGAGCCCCCATTGACCCCCATACCCCCCTATTGACCCCCATAGAGTCCCCATAGAGCCCCCATTGACCCCCATTGACCCCCCATTGACCCCCATTGACCCCCCATAGAGGCCCATTGACCCCCATAGCCCCCCATAGAGCCCCCACTGACCCCCATAGAACCCCCATAGCCCCCCATAGAGCCCCCATTGACCCCCCATTGACCCCCATAGCCCCCAGAGAGCCCCCATAGCCCCCCATAGAGGCCCCATTGACCCCCCATTGACCCCCCATTGACCCCCATAGCCCCCCATAGAGCCCCCATTGACCCCCCATTGACCCCCATTGACCCCCACAGAGCCCCCATTGACCCCCCATAGAGCCCCCATTGACCCCCATAGAGTCCCCATAGAGCCCCCATTGACCCCCATTGCCCCCCCATTGACCCCCATAGAGCCCCCATTGACCCCCCATTGACCCCCATAGAGCCCCCATTGACCCCCATAGCCCCCCACAGAGCCCCCATTGACCCCCCCATTGACCCCCCCATGGACCCCCATTGACCCCCCCATTGACCCCCATTGACCCCCCATTGACCCCCCCATTGACCCCCATTGACCCCCCCATTGACCCCCTATTGACCCCCCATTGACCCCATTGACCCCCATTGACCCCCCCAGCCGCCCCCGGCCCCACAGCGCCCCCACCGTCCCCCTTGAGGAAGTGCTCCAGGAACTGCTCCAGGCTCCCGGGGTCTTTGTAGGGCCGGAAGATGCGGGCGAAGTGGTAGAGGGAGACCAGGACGTCCTTGGGGTTCCGCACCGTGTAGATCACCTGCGGGCAGGGCTGTGGGGCTGAGCTATGGGGTGACCCACGGCTATGGGGCTGAGCCATGGGGCTGAGCTATGGGGCTGAGCCATGGGGTGACCCACAGCCATGGGCTGAGCCATGGGGCTGAGCTATGGGGCTGAGCTATGGGGTGACCCACAGCCATGGGGCTGAGCCATGGGGCTGAGCTATGGGGCTGAGCCATGGGGTGACCCACAGACATGGGTCTGAGCCATGGGTCTGAGCCATGGGGCTGAGCTATGGGGCAGAGCTATGGGGCTGAGCTATGGGGCTGAGCTATGGGGTGACCCACGGCCATGGGGCTGAGCTATGGGGCTGAGCCATGGGGCAGAGCTATGGGGCTGAGCTATGGGGCTGAGCTACAGGGTGACCCGCAGCCATGGGGCTGAGCTATGGGGCTGAGCTATGGGGTGACCCACAGCCATGGGGCTGAGCCATGGGGTAACCCACAGCCATGGGGCTGAGCTATGGGGCACAGAGCTGTGGGGTAGAGCTATGGGGACAGAGCCATTGGGGCTGAGCCATGGGGCAGAGCTATGGGGCAGAGCTATGGGGACAGAGCCATGGGGCTGAGCTATGGGGCTGAGCCATGGGGTGACCCACAGTCATGGGGCTGAGCTATGGGGCAGATAGATGGGAACAGAGCTATGGGGCAGAACTATGGGGCAGAGCTATGGGGGCAGAGCTATGGGGCAGAACTATGGGGTACAGAGCCACGGGGCAAAGCTACGGGGTACAGAGCTAGGGGGCAGAGCTATGGGGTGACCCACAGCCATGGGGGGCAGAGCTATGGGTCAGAGCCATGGGGCATAGCTATAGGGTGACCCACAGCTATGGGGCAGAGCTATGGGGCAGAGAGCTATGGGGTGACCCACAACCATGGGGGGCAGAGCTATGGGGTGACCCAGAGCTATGGTGCAGAGCTATAGGGCACAGAGCTATGGGGTGACCCCCAGACATGGGATGGAAATAGGACCATGGACAGCACCCACATGCATCCCCATAGCCACACCCTAGACCCACAGCCACCCCAAAGTGACCCCATATCCACCCCATAACCACCCCACATCCACTCCATAGCTGCCCCATATTCACCCCATAGCTGCCCCATGTCCACCCCATAACCACCTGACATCCACCCCATAGCAGCCCCACAGCTGCCCCATGACCACCCCTCATCCATCCCATAACCATCCCCTATCCACCCCATAACTACCCCACATCCACCCCATAGCAGCCCCATAACCACCCCACATCCACCCCATAGCAGCCCCACAGCTGCCCCATGACCACCCCTCATCCATCCCATAACCATCCCCTATCCACCCCATAACCACCCCACATCCACCCCATAGCAGCCCCACAGCTGCCCCATAACCATGCCACATCCACCCTCTATCCACCCCACATCCACCCCATAACCACCCCACATCCACCCCATAGCAGCCCCATAACCACCCCACATCCACCCCATAGCAGCCCCATAACCACCCCACATCCACCCCACATCCACCCCATAACAGCCCCATAACCACCCCACATCCACCCCATAGCAGCCCCATAACCACCCCACATCCACCCCATAGCAGCCCCATAACCACCCCACATCCCACCCCATAGCAGCCCCATAACCACCCCACATCCACCCCATAACCACCCCACATCCACCCCATAACAGCCCCATAACCACCCCACATCCACCCCATAGCAGCCCCATAACCACCCCACATCCACCCCATAGCAGCCCCATAACCACCCCACATCCACCCCATAACCACCCCACATCCACCCCACATCCACCCCCCCTCCGCCCCTCCGCGCACCTTGGCCTTGGAGCTGAAGAAGGCCCTCGGGAAGAGCTGCACCGGGAGGTGGGAGCTGATGAGGCGGGGCCGGGGGGAGCCCCGCGCCCGCCGCAGCCCCAGCAGCGTCTCCAGCCACGGGCCCCGCTCCCAGTTGGGCACCGAGCGGCACCAGCGCGGGTCCCCGTTGCAGCGGATGAGGCTCAGGATCTCCAACATCCACACAGTGCCTGGGGGAGGGGAACGGGGGGGGGGGGGAGGGGGGGATGGGGATCAATGGGGGTGATGGGGGAATGGGGGTGATGGGGGTGATGGGGGTGATGGGGGTCAATGGGGGTGATGGGGGTCAATGGGGGTCAGTGGGGGTCAGTGGGGGGATGGGGGGGATGGGGGGTAACGGGGGGATGGGGGGGATGGGGATCAATGGGGGTCATGGGGGGGATGGGGGGATGGGGATCAATGGGGTCAGTGGGGGGATGGGGATGATGGGGGAATGGGGGGGATGGGGGGGATGGGGGTCAATGGGGGTCATGGGGGGATGGAGGTGATGGAATGGGGGTGATGGGGGTGATGGGGGGATGGGGGTGATGGGGGGATGGGGGTGATGGGGGAATGGGGGTGATGGGGGGATGGGGGTCAATGGGGGTCAGTGGGGGTCAGTGGGGGGATGGGGGAATGGGGGGATGGGGGGGATGGGGATCAATGGGGGTCATGGGGGGATGGGGGTGATGGGGGAATGGGGGTGATGGGGGGAATGGGGGGATGAGGGTCAATGGGGGGGATGGGGGTCAGTGGGGGGGGATGGGGAAATGGGGGGATGGGGGTCAATGGGGGTCAGTGGGGGTCAGTGGAGGGGATGGGGGTCAGCGAGGGGAATGGGTGAATGGGGGGGATGGGGGTCATGGGGGTGATGGGGGGATGGGGGTCATGGGGGGGATGGGGATCAGTGGGGGAATGGGGGAATGGGGGAATGGGGGGTAACGGGGGGATCGGCAGGATGGGGGGAATGGGGAATGGGGGGGATGGGGGGTAACGGGGGGATGGGGGTGATGGAGGGGATGGGGATCATGGGGGAAATGGGGGGATGGGGATTAATGGGTGTCATGGGGGGATGGGGGTGATGGGGGAATGGGGGTGATGGAATGGGGGTGATTGGGTCAATGGGGTCAATGGGGGCATGGGAGAATGGGGGGGAATGGGGGTAATGGGGGTCAGTGGGGGTGATGGGGGAAATGGGGATAATGGGGGGCAATGGGGGGAACAGGGGTGATGGGGGTAACGGGGGAATGGGGGTCAAGGGGAGAATGGGGGGATAATGGGGGGAATGGAGGGAGTAATGGTGCCAATGGGATAATGGGGGGCAACGGGGGTTCCTTTGGGGTCTTGGGGCCCATTTGAGGTTCCTTTTAGGGCCCATTTGAGGTCTTTGCATCCATTTGGGTTCATTTGGGGTCTTTGGGACCATTTGGGGGCCCTTAGAGTGTCCCTGGAGGTCCATTTGGGACACTTTGTGTCCCCCAATCCCCCCCATTGGGGACACTTTGGGCTCCTTTCCCCCCTACTGGGGACACTTTGGGGTCCTTTGACCCCATTGGGGACACTTTGGGCTCCTTTTCCCCCCATTGGGGACACTTTGGGCTCCTTTTCCCCCCCATTGGGGACACTTTGGGCTCCTTTCCCCCCATTGGGGACACTTTGGGGTCCTTTTGCCCCCATTGGGGACACTTTGGGCTCCTTTTCCCCCCATTGGGGACGTTTTGGGCTCCTTTTCCCCCCATTGGGGACACTTTGGGCTCCTTTCCTCCCCATTGGGGACACTTTGGGCTCCTTTAACCCCATTGGGGACACTTTGGGCTCCTTTCCCCCCTACTGGGGACACTTTGGGCTCCTTTTCCCCCCATTGGGGACACTTTGGGCTCCTTTTCCCCCCCATTGGGGACACTTTGGGCTCCTTTCCTCCCCATTGGGGACACTTTGGGGTCCTTTTCCCCCCCATTGGGGACACTTTGGGGTCCTTTTCCCCCCATTGGGGACGCTTTGGGCTCCTTTAACCCCATTGGGGACACTTTGGGCTCCTTTTCCCCCCATTGGGGACGCTTTGGGCTCCTTTAACCCCATTGGGGACACTTTGGGCTCCTTTTCCCCCCCATTGGGGACACTTTGGGCTCCTTTCCCCCCATTGGGGACACTTTGGGGTCCTTTTCCCCCCATTGGGGACACTTTGGGGTCCTTTCCCCCCATTGGGGACACTTTGGGGTCCTTTTGCCCCCATTGGGGACACTTTGTGCTCCTTTTACCCCATTGGGGACACTTTGGGCTCCTTTTCCCCCCCATTGGGGACACTTTGGGCTCCTTTCCCCCCATTGGGGACACTTTGGGGTCCTTTTCCCCCCATTGGGGACACTTTGGGGTCCTTTTCCCCCATTGGGGACACTTTGGGGTCCTTTTGCCCCCATTGGGGACACTTTGTGCTCCTTTTACCCCATTGGGGACACTTTGGGCTCCTTTTCCCCCCCATTGGGGACACTTTGGGCTCCTTTTCTCCCCTTTGGGCTCCTTTCCCCCTCATTGGGGACACTTTGGGGTCCATTTCCCCCCACTGGGGACACTTTGGGCTCCTTTAACCCTCATTGGGGACACTTTGGGCTCCTTTCCCCCTCATTGGGGACACTTTGGGGTCCATTTCCCCCCACTGGGGACACTTTGGGCTCCTTTAACCCTCATTGGGGACACTTTGGGCTCCTTTCCCCCTCATTGGGGACACTTTGGGGTCCATTTCCCCCCACTGGGGACACTTTGGGCTCCTTTTACCCCATTGGGGACACTTTGGGCTCCTTTAACCCTCATTGGGGACACTTTGGGCTCCTTTCCTCCCCATTGGGGACACTTTGGAGTCCTTTTACCCCCATTGGGGACACTTTGGGCTCCTTTTACCCCATTGGGGACACTTTGGGCTCCTTTTACCCCCCATTGGGGACACTTTGGGGTCCTTCCCCCCCCCCCCCCTACCCGATTTCTGGTAGGTGACGTTGAAGACGTCGTCATCGTACACGGGGAAGTCTCGGGCGGCCTCGAGCCCGCGGGGGCTGTACAGGAGCCCCGGGAACGTGATGCCCCCGTGCTGGAAGTACCCGTGGGACATCCCGGGGGGGGGGCGGGGGGAACCGGCACCAACCGGGACCTGCGGGGGGGGGGGAGGGACCAATGATGGAGGTCCCGGGGGGGTCCCGTTACCGCAGCAACGGCTGCGCACGGTGGGTCCCGGGGGGGGGGAACAGAACCGGCTCCAGGCAACAGCGCTTGGGAGGGGGGGGGGGGGAAGGAGCCGCCCGCACCCCCAAAATCCCGGTACCACCGGGTCCTAGAGCCCACCCCTCAATCCGGTACCACCGGGTCCTAGAGCCCACCCTTTATAACCGGTACCACCGGGTCCTAGAGCCCACCCTTTATACCCGGTACCACCGGGTCCTAGAGCCCACCCTTTATACCCGGTACAACCGGGTCCTAGAGCCCACCCTTTAGAACCGGTACCACCGGGTCCTAGAGCCCACCCTTTAGAACCGGTACCACCGGGTCCTAGAGCCCACCCTTTAGAACCGGTACCACCGGGTCCTAGAGCCCACCCTTTAGAACCGGTACCACCGGGTCCTAGAGCCCACCCTTTAGAACCGGTACCACCGGGTCCTAGAGCCCACCCTTTAGAACCGGTACCACCGGGTCCTAGAGCCCACCCTTTAGAACCGGTACCACCGGGTCCTAGAGCCCACCCTTTAGAACCGGTACCACCGGGTCCTAGAGCACACCCCTCAATCCGGTACCACCGGGTCCTAGAGCCCACCCTTTAGAACCGGTACCACCGGGTCCTAGAGCCCACCCTTTAGAACCGGTACCACCGGGTCCTAGAGCCCACCCTTTATTACCGGTACCACCGGGTCCTAGAGCCCACCCTTTATTACCGGTACCACCGGGTCCTAGAGCCCACCCCTCAATCCGGTACCACCGGGTCCTAGAGCCCACCTTTAGAACCGGTACCACCGGGTCCTAGAGCCCACCCTTTAGAACCGGTACCACTGGGTCCTAGAGCCCACCCTTTAGAACCGGTACCACCGGGTCCTAGAGCCCACCCCTCAATCCGGTACCACCGGGTCCTAGAGCCCACCCTTTAGAACCGGTACCACCGGGTCCTAGAGCCCACCCTTTAGAACCGGTACCACCGGGTCCTAGAGCCCACCCCTCAATCCGGTACCACCGGGTCCTAGAGCCCACCCCTAAATCCGGTACCACCGGGTCCTAGAGCCCACCCCTCAATCCGGTACCACCGGGTCCTAGAGCCCACCCTTTAGAACCGGTACCACCGGGTCCTAGAGCCCACCCTTTAGAACCGGTACCACCGGGTCCTAGCGCCCACCCTTTATAACCGGTACCACCGGGTCCTAGAGGCCACCCTTTAGAACCGGTACCACCGGGTCCTAGAGCCCACCCCTCAATCCGGTAACACGGGGTCCTAGAGCCCCTTTATAACCGGTACCATCGGGTCCTAGCGCCCCTTTATAACCGGTACCACAGGGTCCTCGCGGCAACCGTGCCCTAAACCTGGCACCACCGGGTCCTAGCGCCCACTGTGCCCTAAACCTGGCACCATGGGGTCCTGGAGCCCACCACTCTACCCGGTAACTGGTACCACTGTGCCCTAGCGCTCACCGTGCCCTAAACCTGGCATCATCGGGTCCTAGAGCCCACCCTTTATAACCGGTACCATCGGGTCCTAGAGCCCACCCTTTATAACCCGGTACCACCGGGTCCTAGCGCTCACCGTGCCCTAAACCTGGCACCACCGGGTCCTAGAGCCCACCGTGCCCTAAACCTGGCACCACCGGGTCCTAGTGCCCACCCTACCCTAAACCTGGCACCACCGAGTCCTCGTGCCCACCGTGCCCTAAACCTGGCACCACCGGGTCCTAGTGCCCATCCTACCCTAATCCTGGCACCACCGGGTCCTAGTGCCCACCCTACCCTAAACCTGGCACCACCGGGTCCTAGAGCCCACCCTGCCCTAAACCCGGTACCACCGAGTCTTAGCACCCCCCCTCGTGCCCCACACACGGGAAGGGATCACATCTCTTCGGGGCTCCCCACACCGCAGCTCCCACGTTCCCCACCCCAATTTAGGTCCCCCCCCAGCCCCACACCCCGCTCCATCACCCCCCAACCCCTCCCATGGCCTCAACCCCCCCCAAACCCCCCCAAAACCCCCGTCGTGCTCCCCCCCCCCCCCCGGTACCTGCCGCACTCTGGAGCCGCCGCGGTCGCTCCCAACCACTGCGGGCGGGACCCGCGTCTGCTCCCCCCCGCCCCCCCCGTGGGGTGACCCCGCCCCCCCCTTTTTGCGCAACACCCCCCCGACCGGTTCCTGTGTCATCGGGGCTGCCCCCCCCACCCCACAGACACGCGTGGGGACCCCCCCCGCGGGGAAATGGGGGTTAAATGGTGCGAACTGGGGGGGGGGTAACAGCTCCTCCCCCCCCCCCCCAGGTGATGTGCCACTGGGGACACACACACAATGATGGGGGGGGGGGGGGGCAGGGGTGCCCCCAAAACCCAAGCAATAGCATGGGGGGCAGTGATGGGGGTGTCCCCAAAACCAGGTACTAACAATAGGGATGACGACCCTAAAATCAGGCAGTGGGGGGGACCCCAAAGATGAAACACATGGGGGGCCCCAAACCCAGGTATTAACAATGGGGACGACGACCCTAAAATCAGGCAGTGGGGGGGACCCCGAAAATGAAACACATGGGGGGCCCCAAAACCAGGTATTAACAATGGGGGGGAACCTAAAACCAGGTATTGGGGGGGACAGACCCCAACGATGAAACACATGGGGAGTCTGCAAACCCAGGTATTAACAACGGGGGGCCCTAAAACCAGGCAGTGGGGGGGGACCCCAAAGATGAAACACACGGTGGGGGGGGGGCAAAACCAGGTAGAAACTGGTGGGGGGAAGGGAGGGAAGGACTTGGGGGTGTCCCAAAGGACAGGGGGGAGCCGGGGGGGAGTCCCCAAAGAGAGCAACAGGCGGAGGGGGGGGCAAAGCCGTTTATTGGGGGCTCAGTTCTTGTAGCCCCGACTCGCGCGGCGGCCCCGAGCCCGCTCGAACTTGCGGCCCTTGGAGCGCACGTAGGGCCTGGGGGGGGGGAATGGGGGGGTCAGCGGGGGGGGATGGACCCGAGCATGGTCGGTCACCCCCCCCCCCCCCCCAAGTACCCTGGGAGCCAATCACACACAGGGATCATAGCACCCAATAACCCCCAGATCCCTTAGGGTGCTCCCAAACGCCCTTTAAGCCCCCCCCCCGACTACCCTCAGGACCCTTCAGACCCCTTAAGGTACCCCCAATCCTCCCCACAAGGCACCCCTTAAGAACCCCCCAAACTCTTTAACTCACCCCAAATCCCTCCTCAATACCCCCCAAAACCCCTTAAGGTACCCCCAAATCCCCCCCTAACACCCCCCCCAAGATACCCCTTAAGACGCCCCCATACTCCTTAACTTACCCCTAATGCCCCCTTAAACGCCCTCCACCCCCTGCTAAGACACCCCTTAAGACCCCCACAACACCCCTTAAGGTACCCCCATTCCTCCCTTAGGATACCCCAAAAGCCCCCCCTAGACACCCCTTAAACCCCCCTCGAACCCCTTAAGGTATCCCCAATCCCCCCTTAAGATACCCCAAAAGCCCCCCCCCCGGCACCCCTTAACCCCCCCCCCCGAACCCCTTAAGGTATCCTCAATCTCCCTTTAGATACCCCAAAAGCCCCCCCCGGCACCCCTTAAGACCCCCCCCAACCCCCTTTAAGGTACCAATGCCCCCCCCCAAAACGCCCCCTGAGACCCCTCCATCAACCCACACCAGCCCCCAACATCTGCCCCCCCCATAGCACCCCAAATGCCCCCCACCCCGCACTCACTTGGTGTGGCTATGGGGGGTCCCCGGTGCCTTCCCGAAGTGCCTATAGACCTCCCTTGCCTTGCGGGGTCCTGAATGGGGGGGGCACACATGGAAAACGGGGGTCACCCCATACAGCATCACCCCATAACCTCATGGGGGGGTCCCACAAGGATCAATGGGGCGGGGAGGGGGGGCACTCACCGGACAGCAGAACGGTGCCTTTCCCCTTTGGGGTGGCCATGGCCAGCTGGTCGAAGGTGAGGATGGAGCCCCCCGCCCGCAGGATGCGGGTCCGAGCCCCCCTCGTTACCCGTAGGGCGCAGAGCTGGGGGGGGCACCCAAAAAACCACATTAACGGATGAACATCAACCCCAAAACCCCTTTAATTCATCCCAAAACCACCCCCCCCAACCTTGAGCTTGGGCACGTCCTGGATGCGGATGTCATCGGTCACGGTGCCCACCACCACCGCGGTCTTGTCCGCCCGGCCCGGCTTCTTCATCATCCGGATCTACGGGGTGGGGAACGGCAACCGGACACGGTGGAAGTGGGATGGGGGTCCCCGAGCCCGGTAACGGATTTGGGGGTACCCCCCCCCCCTCCGGTACTCACCATACGGGACAAGGAGAGGGGGGGCCGGTTCGTGCGGCTCATAAAGAGCCGCTTCAGCACCACTTTGTTGAAGGCAGAATTGGTCCGGCGAGCGAGGAACCGGTAAAGCTGAGGGGGGGGGACACACCACAAACACCGGTACCGGAAGCGTTAACACCGGTACCGGACCCCCTCCACCCTCACCCCCTCTCCGGTGCTCCCTTCCCCCACCTTAACGAGCAGCCGTAGGTAAATGTCCTGGCTCTTGGGCTCCCGGCGCCGCACCTTCCGGTCGCGGTTATGGCGGATATCGATGCCCTGAGAGAACGGCACCGTTAGGCCTCACCCCGCAGGCATCGCGCACGGATTCCGCCGCCATCCTGCCCCGCAGGCTCCTCTCGGCCTAGCCCGGTACCGGAGGCACCGAGCCGGTGCCATCCGGAGGCGGATGGCGGCGGATGCGCGGTCCCCCCCCCCGCCATAGCGGCGCGGACCCACCATGGCGGCGGCGGAGGGTAGAAGGAGAGGGAGGAGCGCAGCGGGTGATGGGAAAAGGATGGACTTCCGGTTGGCGGCCGGAAGTGGGTATGGGGCCGCTCTGCGCCGCTCGGTGGTGCGGGAGGACG